ACGCACCCCCGCCCCACTGGGGACTTTGGCGAGTTGCGGGCGGGGCGGGCGCAGATTCCCCCAGGCCTCGGTCTCTCTCCTTCCTGCCTGCCAGAGCCAGGAGGCTGATTGGCTAATCTAATAAATAATCCATTGGCTGATTAAGGAAAGATTTGTTACTCTTGGCCAAAAATATTTCCATTTGTAAACTTACCTTTAATGCTTTCACATAAAAAGTTAATTAGCATGCAAATTCCGGAGAGGGGAAATACTTGGGAACTCCGAAGTATTTTCGTGGTCCCCAAATTTACTCAATATAGGACTTGCCTATTCCTAGAACTAATAAGGCTATCCTGGTTTGTGTAGTGTGCATTAAATGTTCCTGTATCATTCCACAGAAAGGGCTCAGATGAAAGGAAACTAAACATACTGAGTGCATCTATTTATTGAAAAAAAAAATGTTAAGATCTAAATCATTCTACAGAGTTTCTCTTTCTAAAGTTGATAATAAAAATTAGGCCCATTCGGGACTGCAGCCCTACAGACACCTTGATTTCAACCCGGGGGGCTGGTGTTGAACATCTGACCTACACAAGTGTGAGATAATAAATTTGTGTTGTTTTAAGCCACTAATTTTGTGGCAATTTGTTACAGCAGCAGTAGAAAACAAACAGAAATGTTAGTTGATAAAAAATAATCATCTTTTTGGGAAAGGCATTGAAATAAAAAATTAAAAATAAATAATCAAATGACTAAGGTTCTACAACAGACAACGTCCAACTGTTTAATTTCTTATCTTTTTTTTTTAAGGAAGGTTCTTCAACTTTAGACAATTTTTCAACTCAGAAGAATAGAGCAAACATGATGGACCCTGAGCTTCTTCAAGGACCACGGCAATCAGCACCCCAATTCCCTGCCTGGAGCTGGGCTTCCCTAGTCATGGGCTGGCTGGAATCATTGTCACCCAGCTATGAGTAAGTCCTGATCCTCTTCAGGCATTGGACCCGGGAGGACATTAAAAAGGGGTGGGTTAAAATAATGAGACCATTGTGATAGCAGGAAAGAAAGCCAAGGGCCTCGGTGTCACAATTCTGTCTACCACAAGTTTTCGTGTTCAGCCTATTGTGATGAAAGACTTGTCACAAGGTTCAGTTTATTGCCAGAGAACTTCATGTCTAAGGTGACCAGATTTTAACATTGGTAAAGCGGGACAACATGGCCCCACCCCCACCCCCGCGCAAGTGGGGCGGGGAAGGGGGGGCAGGGCAGGGGACAGGACTGGGCAGGACCTGACAACAATGCAAACTTTGATAATCATTTCTCAACAATTATTTGTTATTATTACAGTTTAACATTATAAAATTAACAAAAATAATATAAAACTCGTATCTCTGTGAAATAGCCACATGGCAGCCGAAATCCCTTCCTGTTCTCCCGCCCCATCGTGCATTCTTTCCAAAAATCGGGACTTTTTAAAAATGCAGCAGGACGCGGGACAAATTGTTAAAAAGCGGGATGTCTGGTCACCCTATTCATGTCATATCTATAAAACCTTTGCAAACTAGGAATATTTTCCACTTTTTCTGTTGTTTTGGGGGGGAGGGGAAAATAAGATGATTCAGATAAAAAGCAGCATATCTCAAAAGACATATTATCCTTATAAAAACAGTTTTCCACAATTTTTTATAAAAATGCTTCTGTGAAAACTTTAGAAGTAACAAAGACCACAAATCTTAGGCAAATTATTTAACTTTCTTTGGCCTCATTTTCTTCATCTTTAGAAGGGGATATGTATAGTTTGTGTATGAAATTGTAGTCAGGTTAAATAAAATAATACATGCAAAGCATTAAGCATGGTGGTGCCCGGCACATGAGCACTTGCACACAAATTACTCACATGGCCATTAGAAGCAGCATAGCTCCCGGTGCCTCCTCATAAACCTGAATACGGGAAGTGTTATGGAAAATAAAAGGTCCTTGTTCACACACGCCAGAGCACACCTGTCTTCAGTCTCTACATCTCTTCACTTCTCAGCTGAAGAAAAACAGACAAAAGTTCATGAAAACTGTAGCCAAAAGACTTGGGCTGGAATCCACCACAGAAGAATGGATGCAGTCCCTCCAAATCATAAAGAATGATGTTCTTGAGGGAGTTATAGACACCATTGCTCCCCAGGAGGGTTCCAATTATGGCAGAGAAGAGAGGGAGGAATAATTCTATGAAGAGTTAGTGGATGGGCGGCACCTGTGGCTCAGTGAGTAGGGCGCCAGCCCCATATACTGAGGGTGGCGGGTTCGAACCCGGCCCCAGCCAAACTGCAACAAAAAAAAAATAGCCGAGCATTGTGGTGGGCGCCTGTAGTCCCAGCTACTGGGGAGGCTGAGGCAAGAGAATTGCCTAATCCCAAGAGCTGGAGGTTGCTGTGAGCTGTGATGCTACAGCACTCTACCGAAGGTGACAAAAACTCTGTCTATAAAAAAAAAGAAAGAGTTAGTGGATACAGTGCATTTGTTTACAATGGGACAGGCATTCTCCAGGATAAAGAATTAGGATTTAAGCAGTGGCCTCACACCTATAAACCAACACTCTGGGAGGCCGAGGCAGGTGCATCACCTGAGCTCACAGGTTCAAGACCAGGCTGAGCAAAAGTGAGACCCCCGTCTATAAAAATAGCCAGGCATTGTAGTAAGCGCCTATAGTCCCAGCTACTTAGGAGGCTGAAGCAAGAGACTCACCTGTGCCTAAGAGTTTGAAGTTGCTGTGAGCTATAATATCACAGTGTGCTATTGAGAGTGACAAAGTGAAACTCTGTCTCAAAAAGAAGAAGAATTAGGATATAGTTGGAAGGGAATCCAGTAACAAACATATCCAGAGATTCTTTTTCTTGTTTGAGACAGAGTCTCAAGCTGTCGCCCTGGGTAGAGTGCTGTACTGTCATAGCTTAGAGCAACCTCCAACTTGGGCTCAAGCAATCCTCTTGCCTCAGGTTTTTTTTTTTTTTCCTATTTGTAGTAGAGAGGAGATCTTACTTTTGCTCAAGCTGGTCTCAAACTCTTGAGCTCAAGCAATCCACCCGCCTCAGCTTCCCAGAGTACTAGGATTACAGCATGATCCACCTCGCCAGGCCCAGAGAATCTTTGATTTGCAGTCTGTTAAGGAAACAAGGCCTTTTTAATATCCCTCAGGTGCAGCAGAAAGCACTGTTAAGGTTTGACCTTCCCAAGTCTCACAGGAAGAAATTTCAAACAAAGAACACAGGTCAGAGGTCAGTCCTCAGTTCCCCCTCATCTCAGGTCCACCTGTCAGGGATCCCAGGGAGTTTTCTCCAAACAACTCAAGGATGCGTGTTAAGATGTATCTTTCATTTCTGCAGGGAATCAAACATCTAGTGACCTCACTTAAATGGGTAGGTATTGTTTTAAGTTGTTACTATGTTCTCGCTTATCAAATTGCTCATTTGCTTCTTAAAGCTAGATAGGTGCCTGCGATTTCCATAAAGAATTCAAGATTTTCCTCTATTTCCATGGTTTGGGAGGGGGGATGGCAGGCTCCTAAGAGGAGGCCTTGCTGTATTTCAGCTGCTGTCAGGGAACTAGCTTATTAAATGGAACTGTGGTGACTGATAATTTTAGCATGTTATTATAAAAACATGCAAAACAAGCACTGCTTACAACTGATTTTTACTCATCTATGCCAATAATATGGAATAATCTTAGAGAGAGTAGGAACTGATCCCTCCTCCTACCTCCCACGTGCTGTTTCTACACAAAATCTTCCCTGTACCTGCTAGCCGTAGCAGCTAGGATTCCTTTGGTGGCCAACTATCCCTTGGTTGTCACTACACTGCCCTCATTTGAACAAGATTTACTGAGTACATACTGTTCTGTGTACAAGGAATATAGTGGAAAATGGTAGAGATGGCCTCTGGCAAAAGGAGCTCACATTTCAAAGGAGAGAGTCAGACAACAAAATTAACAAATAAATCTAAAGCATGATTTCTGGCTGTGAAACTTTTTGGGGGAATAAAAATAGAAAGGGTGATGTGATGAGGGCCCCGTGAGTGGGGAGGAAGCTAGCTGCATGAGGCTGAAGGGTTAGCCAAGGTCCCTCTAAGATTCCAAATGAGCTGAGCACTGTGTGATCAGAAGGAAATAAACAAAACTGAAAACGATTCTGGAGTGTCTGAAAAAGCAAGGAGTGTGGCCTGGTCCCCAGGTGAGGAAAGTAGTAAATGGCAGAGCGGGGCAAGGTCACGAAAGGTCTTACAAGCCATGGTGCAGAAGCATGAGCTTCACAATGGGAAAACAGTGAACATTTTGATGCAAAGGACTAGTATGACAAGAGCTTTATTTAGATGGAAATGTATCTCCAATGGGTGACAAGCTGTTGCCAGTTGAAATAGAAGCGATAATTCTGTAGCTGAGCAGAAAGGCATCAGTTTGGATGGTGGGTGCCAGCCATACTGAGTTAGCCCAACCGGGGCACTGCAGTGCAGGAGAGGGGATGATGCCAGGGACCAGCATGAAGACAATGGCTCCTTCCGGGCAGGAGACAGAAATGTGCTGCCAACCCTCCCGGCTGGCTGGGCGATGTCGGCCAACAGCGATCACTGCGCTGGAGACAGTGAAGCTCCCTACTAACCATGACACTCACAACCCTGAACGTTGCCCTGAACCTTGCATCTCTTTTCATTGTCACTAACCCAGATCCCCCCCATACCCAATGGAGAGAAGAGGCAGCTAAGGGGGGGGTGGAGGAGGGGTGGGAGGGGCCAGGAATGCAACAGTGGGAAGCAGGAGGAGCAATCAGTGAACTCTGCTTCCCATCTTAATCTCTGAAGAAAGTTGACGCTTTCCTCAATACCTTGGGTCCTGAAAGTAAGCCGGCAGGTCAGCGAATTTGGAAGAAATCGGACTGAGAACCCTTCCCACAATACTGTTAGATAAGGTCTTTGTTAGCAGAGCCCCTTCTAGCAAGGTGATAAAATGGACCCTGTGTGGCTTGCAAGTTAGACAGGCTCAGATTCAAATTCCAGGTGCAAATCATTTCAGTTTGTTGAGCCTCAGTTTCCTATCTGTATGGAAAATGGGTATTATAATCAAACTGATCCCATAATGCTCCCCTAGAAATCAAATAAGGCAAATCTATAGTATATGAAAATCTCTGGCACGTAATGAATGTTTAATATATGAAACGTGGGATATATAAAAATCCCTGCCACCTAATAAGTGCTCGCGTTGGTCACCTTCCTTCTGCCTCTTGCCTTCTTTTAATGGGTTGTGTGACATGGCAAGACCCTGAATTTTCCTAAGTATCACTGAAAACACAGTATCACAGTATTATTATCAGGTGCCAGGGTAGAAAAAAAAGAACAATTAGAAAGTCAACTGAAACATTTGACTTCCGGG